TTTACATTTTTATTAAGGCTTAAAGTTATGCATATGTAAGACTGGGTCCGCTTAAGTGATAGGCTGTCTGTGAGGCATCACCACAGTCTATGAGTCAGACCCAAAGCTCCGCCCTCTTCTCCAATTATGGTCACTTCTGGCCCCAAAAAACAAAACAAAATTATAGCTGCTGCTCAGCGATGGGTCGGGTCCGGGCATTTTTAGGCAATTCTGAGCAACAAGCAGAAGAATTGGAAGACATTTAGGAATTTAGCAATACAGTCTGCCTTTTGCATCAGCTGAGGCTTGAACTCACAACCTCTGAGACTAAGAATCAATTTCTATCTCACTGAGCTAATTAGTCAATGACAATTCATGTGTAGCTTCACAAATTGACTAAGCCAGACGTGCAGGTTTAGCAGCCGTCCATGCATGGAAAAGCAGATTTCAAACCACTGTAAAAAATTCAGTTATTGAAACAAAAATCTGAAAATACACATATTGCATCTAGACAGCATGGAGATGTTGGTAATTTGTTTGTAACAATGATTGATTTGCTCCATAAGTGAAAAACTGATGTTTAAAATTGCCATTTTTACATTGACTCCAATTGTTCACATTAGAGCAAAATTCAAAATGCTGTCAAAAATTCAGTTTTTGAGATAAAATTCTGAAATTTGCCACACATCATCTACCATCACCTCTAGAATTTTGTCATTTTTTTCATGAACATTGACGATTTATTTAGCAAGAATTTACATGTATATGTTAACAGTACCGTTTACAGTCAAACATTTTGATGCACTGTAGGCTCAATTTTTGATCAATCAAAAATCTGAGAAACGTAGTTTGTGTAGGACAGTCTGAAGATGCTCTGTAGCAAGTTTGGTGTCAGTTGAGCAAAAATTGTGGGAGGAGATAGGTTTAAGAAGTTTTACAGTTTTTGAAAAAACAGTGATGAACTTCATAATTTTTAATAGGTTTAAATGTACAAAACTTTCTTCCGTATTGAGGCTACAGTTTGATGAAAGTTGTGAAGTTGTAGCACGTATGGTTGATTTGTTATGAATTTTCAAAGTTTTGAACTTTAGACGCTTGCTGTAGCGCCACCATCAGGACTGTTGGCTTGAGTTTACAGCTGAGGATATTTGGCATGAGACTGGACCTTTGTGCAAAGTTTGGTGAGTTTTCACTCATGGGAAGTATGATTTCCTCGGAAGAAGGAAGAAGAAGAAGAAGAATACCTAGGATTACAATAGTGTCCTGGCAGCTTAGCTGCCCGGACCCTAATTAAGAAAAAATACAAGGTGGCGATGGCCCAAAAGCCGAAATCAGGGCTTCAGAATGGAGTCCTCAAACCAATTAGTGATATCATGCTAGCCTCATATGTTATTTTATACAGTCTTTGGGTTTAGTCAAATAAATTCAAACCAACATCAGTTGTTTCTGCAAACCATGAATACTGTATGTTATATTTATACGTTTCATACATATGACGTAGTTCAAATAACATGTCTATGAGCTAAATTTAAAGAAGGAGGCAGCAGGCGTGAGCAGGCCACTGTTAGAGACCAACAAAAGTGGGTGTTTTTAACAAGCACTCAGGACATTGCCAGCCATGCTTGTAGTGACCAAATCTTGTATTTTAAACCAAGACATGATCTTTTTCTAATCCTAGCCAAGTGTTTTTGTGCCCAAAGTAAAAAAAAAAACCATGAAGTTTCAACATATCCTTTACATATGAAACATACGAATGTAACATCTGTGGTTTGCAGACATTTATTCTGGTGACTGGCTTGGTTTATCTGTATTAAAAGTCACGGTATTAATAGTAGACAAACTCACTAGTAGTCATTATGTACCATGGTCTGGGAATTATGTCTGCACTGCATCAGAACAAAGTAACCCTCCCTTTATTGCGTTAAAGCCCTGGGACTGTGCTGTGATTGGCTTCTACTGGTTAGGGTTAGGGCAAAGAGGTCATGGTTAAGGGTAGTACTAGAATAGCAACTTAGAATTGCCAAGAAATGCAGTGGAATACATAACAACGCCTCTTCATCACATCACTGTCAGGATCCATGTTCTGGCCTGTCTGCCTCACCTAGTCAGAGGTGGAGTTCTCTTTTGATAATTGATTCATCAGCTTTGACCAGTTTCTGGCAGCATCAGGAAGCTACTACTAACATTGGGTGTCATTCATGAAACGTTAGCAGAATGAGTTTGTCTGTGAACTGTTTGCAGAGGGAAATTTATGTGTATTTTGGCATTCATCATTGTGTTCGTAGCTCCGATCTTTAGGTAGGTACTAACAAAATCTACACCTGCTTCTGACTGCTTAGTGCTTGTGTAAATAAGGATTGCACATAAATATTCCTCGCCATTATTAGATATTGCAATTTTAATTCGTATTGTGCTCTGTTACGCAGATGCCTTTGAAACAAGTAAGTCACACATGACAAAACATAAGAAATACAACACATTTAGCTAAATTCATTGGCAATGAGCAGATTTAAGCCTCAGATATGGTTTCTTAGAAATGAGAATGGGTTTTTCAGTCAGCTTAATACATGTGTTTTCTATATTTCTGGCATCCTGTTCTCTTTTGAATGAATCAGGAGGGAGAACTCCACAAACTGATCTTCTGTTTGAATGGCGAGCTTGTGACAAACATGCTACTGACCAAACACTATGCTATCAGTGATGGCTGTCAGAATGTATAGTGCTTTAACACTTAATATAACATACATCACCTTACCTTCTGAATTTGCTGTTGACTTATGCAGTGGAGGCATGTTGCAATGATGCAAGCCATGCGATCATCTGTTTTTTGTTTTGTTTTTTTGTGTGTGTGTGTACATATGCGTTTTTTGCATCAAGTTTCATATCGAGCTGTTTTTGTTTAACTTCTTGGATGGTTCTTACAATGGAGGACACAGAGTTAACGGCATCCGTTACTAGAGATGTACTGATACCACTTTTTCCTTCCCGATACCGATTCGGATCCCTGAACCTTTGGTATCTGCCGATACCGAGTTCCGATTCAATACCAGCGCGTAAAATGAAAATAGATGGGATATGAATTATTGTATGTCTCAACTCCTAAAACTCTATGTAAAATATGAAGAAATAAATACATAATAGTAGAATGAATGCCATAAAACTTTTATTATTATTATTATTATTATTATTATTATTATTATTACTATCCAGGGTTGACACAGATCAAGACACAGGTTAAAGTGCAGCCACACAATTTGGTGAAAAAAAAAGACATTTTAAAGGCTACAGTAGAATGCTTTTTAAACTCCGCTCCATTTCCATTTCGTTTGCCTGTAGCATGCGTATGCGTAATGACGTAAGGCATTACGTGGTACTCGCCGATACCCGATACCTCATTTTAGGCAGTATCGGAGGCATTTCCGATACTGGTATCAGTGTCGGTACAACTCTATCCATTGCCTCCTTCCAAACCTTTGATTTACCTGTCCCTGCAGGTCGATAAGATGCACCTATCCATAGTAATCATCACCTTCATATATGGTGGTCACTGGCTATTCATGCAGAAGCGTGCTGTCAGTTTACGATTGATTGGCGTTCATGAACGTACACGTGCCTACGATCAAATCTGAGTTTCCCGTGGTGTCATGAATCTGGTGTAGGTTTCTAGTACCAAGGTTTTTTATGTGCAAATCTACTCACAGATTTACTAACATTTCATGAATGGCACCGTGTGTAGTCTCCTCCAAGTTCTTACTAATAACTAGCTAGTTTCAAACTAGTAAGTTACTAAATGGGTTAAAATAGGTTGTTAGGAAACACCTGTAGCACTGTCCGATCAAATGCAATTAGCTGTGTTAAGGCCCTGACACACCAAGCCGACGGTCGGCCATCGACCAAAGTCAGGCCATCGATGAGCATCTGTCGGCCTAGTTTTGCGGTGTGTCCCGCACCGTCGGCACATTGGCGTCTGCAGCTTTTTGGCCTATTGAGCATGTTGAATCGGCGGCGGAGCTTGTCGGTGAGAGAGAGAGATCACACAAGTGAATCTGCCTGTAATGAAACCAGGGCTAACCGGCTCCTGATCAGGCTCCACCCACTGCTTCTTCCCACTTTAACGTAAATAACAAATCGGAGCTAGCTGGGAGCGGCTATCGGAGTGTTAGCTGCAGCATGACCGGAGGGAAGCACAGCCAGTTAGCCTCCGCTAGTCTCTGAGCTAGCCCTGGCTCTCTGTTTGGATCCAACCGGAGCACCGAGCCCTGGTTTGTTAAAGTGGGAAGAAGCAGCGAGTTTATCGGGCAGCTGAGTGAAGTGGAGCCTGTGGAGGAAACACCAGGACCGTCTGCATGTAATAGTCCGTGGAGGTGCTGCGGTGCTCGGCTGCACAGATAGGAAACCCCTCGGCTGACAGGATGTACCACTCTGTCACTCCACTCTCTCACACGCAGGCACAGAACGTACGTGCCACTTGGCCGGGGATGTAGTCCGTGTAGTGTGTTCAAATGCAACCGACACAGGGCGACGTGAGGCGACGTAGACGACGCAACAGTTGGCTTTCGTCGCCGCTAGTTCTTTGATGTCGATTTGGTGTGTCCGCACCTTTAAGTTACTGTTGCATCATGAGCTGTAGCAGAACCTCCAAAGCTAACAGTGGGCAAACAATACATTCAAGTTAACTGCCAGTGCTTTGTAAATTATGTACTACTACTACTACTTTAATGTATGTGTGCAAGAGAAATACATGTATTTTAGATTTAGTAGTATCAGAATGAGTGGGAAATATCTGTATCTGTGTTAATGTAGTGATGCATAAATCTCTACTGACTAAACAGTTACCTTATACATTTAGAAAGGCTGGTTGAACTGGCTGGTGTCATGTTGACAAATAATCTAAAAAATGGTTTTCTATGTATTTGCCTTGTTGCTGTAGATACCTATTTTGTGCCTTTGTCTGCTGCAGTAAATCTAATAACAAATGCACTCTCTTTCTCCCTTTCGCTTCCCTTTGTTCTCTCTGCCAGGGATTGAGCTCTGCCTGCCAGGATGGCGTTTTTCCATGACCATGGTGGCCAGTTTTGTGGTGTTGGGTGGTCAGCTGCTGATGCCCGGGGTGGCATACCTCTGTCGCGACTGGCAGGTACTCCAGGCTGTCATCATCTGCCCCCTGCTGCTGATGCTGTCCTACATCTGGTGAGGAAAACACCCGAGCATCTGCTGCACTTTGACGCCAACCCTCTCTTTTGTTCCTCTGTTGAAGTTTAAAAGGTGTTTTTCAGTTCATATTCAAAATGAGACTGAAATATGCGGTGCCATCTGCTATCAAATTCTACATGTGTGAGATTCTGAGCAACCTTTGTTTTAATAGTCTAAATAAAACCTTGTGAAGCCGTCTATGCTTTAACAGATTTACACGCTTCAAACACAGAAGGAGAGAGTCTTCCCTCCAAGGACATTTTTTCACCAGTGAATTCCCAGCTGAGTTAAATGTAATGTCTTTTACATTAACTCATTTGCGGTGACCTCCACAGTCTCTTTTGCTAAAGCTCAGGCAATAAATACTCGTGTGTTCACCTCCATTTATTCCACCGTGATGCACAGCGCTCCACAGCACAAAGCCAGAAAAAGAAAATCCAAGAATATAGATCTTTATCGCAGGGTATCAAAGGCCCTCGACGGTGTACCTGGAGAAGAAAGTGTGTTTCCACTCAGAGGCAGTCAAAACCAAGAATCTGATCAAACCTCAAAGCTGGTGATATGATGCATTTCAATAGGACACAGAGAGCAGAGCAGATAGATGGGGGTTTCCATCATGGGCGGCTTATGAGACAATGCGCCTCTGGGCACAGACATGCAGAAGGCCCTATCACCTCCCCTGCATAAGACAGACAGTCTCTTTAATTGTTAAGCCTCTTTTTGTTGCTGTTTTCTGTGTCTACCTGCAGTCATTAGGTATCTCTCTGTAGTTTTGTGTCTCTTTGTCATAATATTAAGTCCATTTGTGGTAATTACGTGTCTCTTTGCCCCTTTTTGTAGTTGTTATGCATCACTTTGTGGTTGTTTTGTGTCTCCTTGTTTTCATTCGGAGCCTCTTTTTAATCATGTTGTGTCTCTTTGTGGTTGCTTTGCATGTCTTTGTAGTCATTTTGTGTTTGTTTGTGGTTGTTTTGCCACCTTTTGTAGTTGTATTGCGTCTCTGAGTCTCTTTGTGGTCATTTTGTGTCTCTTTTTATTCATTTTGAATCTCTTTGTAGTTGCTTTACGTGTCTATATAGTCAATGTGTGTCTATTTGTAGTTGTTTTGCCACCTTTTGTAGTTGTTATGCATCACTTTGTAGTTTCATGTCTCTTTGTTTTCATTTTGAGTCTCTTTGTAGTCATTTTGAATCTCTTTGTAGTTGCTTTACATCTCTTTGTAGTTGTTTTACGTGTCTTTGTAGTCATATTGTGTCTCTTTGTGGTTGTTTTGCCACCTTTTGTAGTTGTTATGCTTCACTTTGGATGCATTGTTTTGCATCTCTTTGTTTTCCTTTTGAGCCTCTCTGTGGTCATTTTGTGTCTCTTTTTGTTTTTTTTTTTGAATCTCTGTAGTTGCTTTGTTTCTTCGTAGTCATTTTGTGTCTCTTTGTGGTTGTTTTGCCACTTTTTGTAGTTGTTATGCATCACTTTATAGTTGTTTCATGTCTCTGTTTTCATTTTGAGTCTCTTTGTAGCTATTTTATGTCTCTTTTAAGTCAAGTTTGAATCTCTTTGTAGTTGCTTTGCGTCTCTTTGTGGTTGTTTTGCTCCTTTTCCTAGTCGTGAGTCTCTTTGCAGCTGTTTTGAATCTCTTCTTAGTCGTTTTTTGTCTCTTTTTGGTCATTTTGAGTCTCTTCCTGGTCAACACATGTTAACTTGAGGAGTCAGTTACCTTAGGCATACATCATGGTAGTCATGGTTATGCTGATGAATGAGTGAGAACAACAGTAACTCAGCAGTCAGGTGGCTAAGCAGTGTTGTTGTCTGCTTTAATGCAGTCACAGCCTTGCTGGCTGAAAAAGACTCACTGAGCTCAGGGACATGAAGCCGGATGTGAAAATGATATTTCTCACAGATACTACTGGACACTGGACAGTGAACTCAACCTGCAAAGTGCAGGGCAAGCTTTTATTGGCAAACCAACCAACACTGTAGCTTCTCTCTGCATGTGATACAGAGCTGTCCACACTACTGACATACACAGATGCATCAGCAAGCATGAGTCAGGCTTCACAAGAGGATTCATGTTGACTTTCTTGATTAAGCCAGACAGCGTTTATGGGCACAAATTGGGTCCATCACTGCCAAAGTGGCTGACACTGCAAATATAGGAATACAGCTGATTGGGCTGAAGAGTTCAACACTGCAGGTGATCTAGGTTTGCTGATTCCGGGAAAACAACTTAAAACCACACCAGTGCAAGATAATTAATCCTGCACGTACTCCTCACGTAGACTTCTGTTCCAGAGAAATGCAACCGACTGAGGCAAATGTGGCATTGTTTTTGCTGACTGTCCTCAAATCTACAGACATCTGCGAGGAGGAACCTGACCACTCACGGGAACATGTGGCACATTACACAATACAACCACCAGATAACAGAGCGTAACAAATGAAAGCAGTGACGGGGATAACTGGCGGGCAGTCAGGTGTTTATTTGTTGTCCCCACTGTAAAGACATCTGATTATGCTAATGTGAGGCCCTGCCACCTGTAAATGCTATGTGAGTGTGTGAAGCTAGATTTTCAGTTCAGGATACAGTTTCTAATCTTAGCTGATCATCACAGTTTTCTTCTCTGCATTTAATTAGAAGTGGCACGCTTGTTAACAACAAAAAAAAACAAGATTTGCTGCTTGTAGCCCTGATTAATAGAGATTCAAATCAGCCGTTTTTAAAAGGAGGATTCATTTTGACATGACTGATTTCTCATGTCTTATTAACGAGGACATCCCCCATCTTTTTCACAGGATCTTCCCTGAGTCACTGCGTTGGCTGCTGGCCACTCAGCAGTACTGCCGCTCCAAGTGGATCATGGGACACATAGCAAAGAAAAACCGATGCAACATGGAGCTTGACACCGATAATATCCTTACAGGTAATGAATACATCGATACTGATTTTGATGCTTTTAGCACTGATTTTCAGTTGTTTTTAAATGAACAATATGCGTCTCAGTCTGTAGTGAAAGTGTTGGCAGACTGTTCCATGTGTGAGCTGCTCTCACTGAGACCTTGACTTGACCGTCCAAAGGCAGTTGTCCTCATAGGTATTGCACAATCCCCTCTTGCCACAGATGTAGTGTATCATCAGCTTTTTTCAGCTTTAAAAAAGCACAAGGGGAGGAGGGGGCCAAACCGTACAAAATCTTCTAAACAAATCAAGCATCTGTGAATTAATAAGATTGTTCCACCTCCATAAATTATGCCCTCTTAAGCAGTAACAACAGTGATGAGTGTGTGGCTTCCAGTCAAGCACCTTAAGGGCCTGGTGGTATACCAGCTGCACAGGGTTTAATATTGTACAGGAGGCTTGTGCCCAACTAGTCAAACAATATGACAAATGTGGTATGATCACAGCATTTAAATGAAGTGCTGCCTTAGTGGTTAGACAGTTTCTGATATGGCGGAAATTTGTCAAGTCACGTTAGTTTGAAATCAGTGATGTGTTGTGATTACTGTACGTCTTGTAGAGATTATTTTAAATGTAGACATTAAAGTCTGGTTAAAGTAAAATCAATGACGTCTTTCTAAACACATTATGCATGTTAGAAAATACTCACTGTAAAGACTGTGAGCTGTATAGTACTGCATTGTGGAGTAAGACCGCTCAGTTTTTCACCCTTTTATTTTGGGAATTTCATCCTTATCATAAACCTGCCTCTACACCAGTGGCTCCCAACTAGTCCAGTCCGGGGTCCAGATCTGTCCTCAGTCATCAGTTCAAGGTCCACATGGTTTAATACATTTAGCATTGTACTTGCATTTGGCCATGTTGTCCAGTTAGTTTGTGGTCTCTATTAAGTAGCTGTCTGTTAGTCACTCACTCTACAAGAGGAGACAGCACTTTAGAATAAAAGCTCTGTGCCAGAAATTCACTGTACTTAAAAATGAAGTGTTTTCTTTTACAAGTTGGGAACTACTGACCTACACTATGTAAACACTAGAGCACACGGCATCAGTGCTTCTCTCCCTGCTCAGTCATTTATTTTATAATTATTATTTCGCTTACCTGCACCCACCAGACCCGTTATGAGAGCTAAGCTGTATGTGTTAATCAGCCACTGGAACCTGACCCACTACCCACCAACTTCATGCATTATAGTAACGTTATGATTGTCAGGACAGAGGCCTGAAATGGTAAAAAGACATGGACTGTGTGCCCAGTGGCAATCCTAAGCCCCTTTTGCACTGCCAGATTTTCTGTGAATGTTGGGCCGTTTTGCCGGACACACAGGTGGATTGGCGAGTTGATCCGAGGTGCCCAGTTTTCCGCCTCGTAGTGTAGACATATTGGCAGAACCCTTTAAGTTTAAACAGACCGAGGCGCCCTTCCACAACAGGAGGGGCTGTTGAAGACTTGTGGGAGGAGCTGTTGATGACGCCGCTTGTGCGAGCCACTGGCGGTGGATAAACAGGAAACAGCTGATAGCAGGAATTAGCGAGCAGCTAGTAGCAAGAGGGAAACACAAACCTGACAGACACTGTTAAGATGAGCAACTGGGGAGACAAAGAATAGCGCGCCCTCCTTGTCCTCGCAAACGAAGAGGCCATTAACCGTCAGATGACGGGGACGGTGAAAAACGGGCCGACTTACCAGAGAATAACCAAAAGACTGACCAGCCGCGGCTTCCCTCTCACGTCACTGTTTATGTCACACGCTGAGCTACACGTTTTGTTACTTGCTCACGCCCCCCATTGCCCTGAAAAAGGCGCATTCTGTATAAACAAAAGTAGGTAGGCGGCATTTTGCTGCACTCCCAGATTTTGTTTTTATACTGCCAATGCTGAAAAAAGACTGACTGGGCTTTCCTGCAAATTTGCACAACTCCTAAGGGTTAATGACTCTGGGGGTCACAGACAAAGAAGCCCATTGAGACCCTGATGGTTACACTTAGCATTGTATGTATGACAGTTAGACAGGTAGCTAGCTTACTGTCCTAGCTCTCATACAGTTTCCAACGCCCCCCAACTTAGTGATGGCTTGGTGCAACAGCAGTGCACTGTGTATTGCCTTTATAGGAGGTTTAAGGGGGTTTATTGTTGTCATTGCAAAATGAGCCAATATGAGTGCCCTTTTCCCATATTTTTGGGGGGATCCCAAACATTTACCTGGTTTACCTCTCCTGCCGACATGCCCCTGTGAGCACTGTAGCACTTGTGGGTGTTTGAGATAGTAAGGGGGGGATGAATTGGTTTAAGAAAAAGGGAATCTTTCCAGCTCTGTGTCGTTATAACATTGTCAGTACATGCAAATGACCCGGAGCTCCCTTCTTACCCGCCCGCCCACCATTTCTCACGCCTGTGGTTTGGACCCAGTGTGAGGTAGAATCATTGGATATGTCTAGGGTTGATAATATTAATATATAGCAAACAAAAGAGAGTAGAAAATATTTAATCGTAAACGTTGTGTCTTTTTTAATAAGATTCCTCTGTGATACTTTATACAATACAATAGTATTTATAGTCTAATGAGATTTTTGGGATCTTAAAAGAGCCAGAGGTCCAAAAAAGGTTGAGAAACCCTGGTTTAAACGAGTAGTTCAGTAGTACACAGTGGGCAGGTAATCGGTGGACCCCCAACAGCAGATGACCGAGGAGCTCTGGGTGCTGCAGCATGTAGGAGGTTGAGCCAGGCGGTGTTTATCTGCACACACAACCTGCCCTTACTGCAGTGACACGGAGCTGGTTAAAAATCTGCATATATTCCCTTTGTTGCTTTGTCACACCACATTGACTGCTTCGGCTTGTTGATGCCAATGTAGCCTCCTAATTGGACAGGGAAGGGGCCTTCAGCGGGCACACCCTCAGTGTTTCAGAGCCGAGAATACTGCTTTGTTTTCATGGTTTTGAAACCTATTGTTATATCCTTGCCGATTTTTTTGATCATTAAAATGTTGCTGGGGGTTTGAGCAACTCAGAATACACATTTATTTTTGCTTTAGCCAGATGCCAAAGTAGTCCTTGTGTGGTAATATCCCCAGATGTGCCTTCCTAAATAAGCCAGATTGACGAGGTTATATCTGCTTCCTGAATGGTTGCTATGGTAACAGACCACTCTAGCTGTATCAGTGGGTGTTGAACATTACATTATGACACTCTGGGACGTTCATTAACTCCATTATAGCCTGGGCGGGTGGACACGGGCTGACACGATGGTGTACGCACGGCAGATGGATGCAGGTCGTGCACTTTGACCCCGGGGTTAACTGCGTCTGTACTCAGAAGACCAGCCAGAGGCAAAGAGCAGAGTGAACTGTGTTGTTGTTAAGTGGCAGAGCAGATTGCATTTGTATTAAGCTTTAACAGCTCTGTTCACCATGGTATACTTTTTTCCATTTTTGTCCCACCGTTGCTCGCAGTATTTATCAATCCATTTAGAAAAAAACGGCGCTACTGCTGGGAAAAAGGCTCAAAGAGGAACCACTCAGTGTGAAATTGACTGCACTTTTTTAGAGCTCGGAGACTGTGTGCTGATGCAGCATTGAGAAAAGTACATTGCCATAGACATTAATTTATCCTCTCTTGTTTTTATAGTAACTGGCTGTCCCTAACCGTGCCAGTAATATTTCCCACTTTTAACTGCTCAGCACTAAATACAGTGTCAGCCACTGATTGTGCTAACTGCCACTAAAGCAGAGCGGTTGAGCAACTTTTCTCAGGCGCTCTCAGACATGACAGATGCATGTGTGACTGCCGATTAGGTCACCTCTGGAAAATGAGCAGAATGATTAGCATAGATAGTCTTACTCAGATGTTTGAAGCCTTGCCAGGGGAACACCGGAAAACCTGAGTGGAACTGTCCGAGATAACCTTGAGGCAACGGTGTGGAATGCCGTCACGTGCCTGAGTCAACATGGACATACAGTGCCGCCAAGCAGAGGTGTGTTTCTGTGGCAACCCGCAGTGTGATACCAAAACATCCACAGTTTTCCATGCTGCACTATCACCTGTGGGTTAGGGGTGTTGCCTTCTCATGTAGTGTTCCTGTTCTTCTGTTGGTGTTGGCATTGTCATACCTGTCTCACAAAGCAGCAGGAGACTGGTTGCATGGGATAAAATGTGCTCATTAAAAATACATGTGGAATTTTCTGTGGTTGCAATGAATCAGGGGTGTCCTTGCTTGACTCTTTAGAGGACCCAGACTGCTGTCAGACCTGAATACTCAACTTGACATGATGATATAGAGCCTGTTGGATATTTAAGCAGGCTGATGATATTTGCTGGTATCACCTTATTATAGATTTATTGGAATTAGTGTACATATTGGTTGATTTTCAAACAAAAATTGGAGCACATAAATATTTCATGGGCTGCATTTTAGGTGTTCTTGACCCTTGTTTTTCTAAATACATGTAAAAGATATTTCTGTGGCATTTTATATATAACTTAAATTGCTGTTTTAAGTTGTATAATTTGCCAAAAAATGATATTCATGATATTCTATAGGCAGCACAGTGCTGCAGTGGTTAGTATTGTCACCTCACAGCAAGAGGGTTCCTGGTTTGAGCCTGGGGTTGGAGGTTTGAACCTTGTGGTGGGGGCGGAGGTTGCATGTTCTCCCTGTGTCAGCGTGGGTATTCTCTGGCTTCCTCCCACAGTCCAAAGACATACAGGTAAAGTGGTGACTCTAAATTGTCCGTAGGTGTGAATGTGAGGGCGAATGGTTGTCTGTCTCTATGTGTCAGCCCTGTGATAGTCTGGTGACCTGTCCAGGGTGAACCCTGCCTCTCGCCCAGTGTCAACTGGGATAGGCTCCAGCCTTTTTCTGTTGTTATAGCGCCACCCAGTTGCCAATTACAGTTAAATTTCTCCAGTCACCTTGAGGCGTCCTGTTCTACATATCTACCAAGTTTAGTAAAAATCCATATGGCGGTTAGGCCTAGATAAGAAATTAGTTCTCTAGCTTCCCTATTTTGTTTGATGGGGTCAATAATGGAGGGGTCCCCTCAGATTATGTGTGGTCATATGCCTACAAAGTTGTGTGGTGATGGGTGAAACCCTTGAGATGTTATACACCTTTATGTGATGAGCCACGCCCTCCGCAATATTCATTGCCTTATAGAAGCTCAGTTTTAGTAAGTTTTCCAACTTTTGCCAAGAGGGAACTTTAGATATTGGTCCCTAGATTATGTTCACCCAGTTTCATGCAGATCGTTCAAACTTCCTAGGAAGAGATCTATTTTAAGTGTTTTTCTAAAAATTCAAAATGGTGGAAAATTTATATAATTGTAAGTTATGGGTTCTTGAGGCAAATTTGTTCCTCATGAGGAGAGGCATCTCTGTGCAAAGTTTCATGTCTCTACGACATATGTTTTTTCAAAGTTTGCAATTTCAAACAGTTGCTATAGCGCCCCCCTTTGGCCAATTGATGTAATATTGCTTCATTCACATCCTCCCATGACCCTCTACCACTGTGCCAAATTTCACATGGATTGACCAAGTCAGTGAGGAGAAAAACGTGGAACAGAGACACACACACAGAGTTTTCATCATTATATAGTAAGATAGAATTTTTCCTAATGTACACAGCAGTCACAGTACATATATCACAACATAACCAAATGTGACTTTGTGGAAAAGATATTCTCGCAAAAACAAAACACAAGTTATATTTGGTAAATGGACTATACCGCCTCTCTAGCCTCCTGACTTCTCAAAGCGAGTTAACACTACTTGTCACATTGACCCATTTGTACACACATTCACACACTGGTGGCTGCTGCCGTACAAGGTGCCACCTGCTACTCAGTTAAACATTCACACACACTCACACGCCGATGGCACAGCCATTGGGAGCTATTTGGATTTCAGTGTCTTGCCCAGTACCTTGCTCTTCCTCCTGAGCCACAGCCCTCTGTGTTTTGTTATACAGGAATAATTATATGATGCTTCAACCTAGGAATAGTGGGGACTAAAAAAATAATAATAATGCATTTATGCAGTGACCAAGTGTCCCAAAAGAAACACAGGCACTATAGAATATATGAAATAACCACTCTTTGCATTGCTAAGCTCAAAGTCATGAAATAACTTTTATGCTCAAATACTGATATTGGCCTCAGATGTCAGATTTTGGTCAGTCTCTAACACGTCTGCTTGTTTCCAGAACTGCAGAGAGCTCTTCAAAAGAAACCCAAGAAGACGTGCATTGTGAAAATGGTCGGGACGCGAAACCTGTGGAAGAATATTGTTGTGCTCTGCGTCAACTCGTAAGTGTTCGTCTTCTGTATCAGCACTCCAAAACACAGTTTGAACATTTACGTGTCAAGGTGCTTATGTGTGTGGGAGGATCTGAACACCGGAGAGAGAGAGAGAGAGAGAGAGAAAAAAAAAGGGAATGCGTGTGTGTGCTTGTATGCCTGTGTGGGGCGAGGCGATGCCAGTCAGACACGCCATTTTGTGCAGTGGAGATGGCACTATTAACCTGGAGGCTCGATACGGCATTGATCAGTAGCTCTCAATGCTTTTGCCCTTCCATATTTGTGCTGCTCTCTCTTTTCATCTCCGGTGGGATCTCTCCTCTTCTCTCCATCTGAGACCTCATCTCTAGCTAGGCTGACCCAGCTTCAGCTCTGCCTCAGTGCACGGTATCCCCTTAACTCCCCGAGTCAGCATAAATTTTACATGAGCTGTGTCCTTATGAAACATTAGACAAGCAGGAGAGAGGGTGTGTGAGTGTTTGCTCTTGTTTTTGTGTATGCTTGGGGTGTGTGTGTGTGTGTGTGTGTGTGTGTGTGTGTGTGTGTGCGCTTGTGTGTCAGTAAGTCAGCGTTTACATGTGTGCGGTTTCTTTGAGATAAGATGAGGGAAAATGTGATAAACCTCCACTTAACCCTCTTCCATCTCCTTCCATGCTCTTCATCTTTAAATTGGTCTGATCTATTATCTCTGTATCTTCTCCCCTTTTTGTTTCTTGTCACCATCCACTTATTCCTCACCTGCTGTACATACTGTAACCACTAGCATCTGCTAACGTAGCCCTGTGTGTGCTTTATGACCCAGGCTAACAGGTTATGGGATCCACCACTGCTTTGCCCGCAGCATGATGGACCCTGAAGCTCAGGAGACAACCATGTTCCACAACTTCTATGCAGATTATTACACCATGGCGGGCATTGCGGTGGCCTCTTGCATGGCGCTGTGCCCTGCGGTGGGCCTGATGGGCCGGCGGGGGGGCCTGCTCATGTTTATGATCATCACTGCCCTGGCGTCACTGCTGCAGCTGGGCCTGCTCAATCGTAAGTACTCTTTGAGGAACACATGTCCACTGAGAATGATACCACAGTGATGTAGTGTATCTGTGGCAGTATTCGGTTTGAAGAAAGGATTTAGAGGTATACTATGCAGGATTTTCATAATGTGTAGACTCATGCAACCGTCAATTAGAGCCCCTACACAAATTAAGTGACATGGGAATATTTTAGCATATTATACATTATGTTTAGGCTGAAAAATAAACTTAAAAACATCTTAACAGTGCTAAAACATGTAAATTACAGAGCAATGTTGCTTACCTCTCCCAGGGATTACAACAGCAAAAGGGGAGAGGTAAGGCAGGAGGCACTCCTTTATAGGTGAGGTATCCCTAAAGGTGAACGTAGGGGTACAGAAACTGAGTGTCAGACGTTCCACATATTGACTATGGAGGCCTAAGCATGTCAGGTGACAACAACTGAAACAAATTTTGTGTAATTATACAACTACATTTGACTTTGTTGCACGTATTACTGCTGTATAATTCTGTTATAATCATGCAGAATTAATTCCTCTCAATCATCTCTTATGACCCACTGAAGGAAGGCAGCAGTGTATTTATCTGCAGAGACTCTACCTTCTGCCTGGATTTCTTATTTCCCCTTTGTTCTCTTTGTTTGGGACATTTATGGGCGTGTACCCCCACAGCGCTTAGGTGAGGTCGGCTTTATATAAAGGTAGCAACCAGGTGCCAGACCGTAAGCACGTGCATCCGAGGGACATGGCACTGAAAAATGCAAATATAGCGAGGCAGAAAGCCAAATGAGAGGTTGGCTTTTACTTTCTCTTCTCGTATGTTTACAAGCAGTAACCGACAGTCCTGCATAGTATACCTTTAAGCCTTTAAAGAAGGCTTAAGTAAGGCTGGTGCAATTCTTTATTTCTCATATTGTCAACAAATCCCATGAAAAGACCAAAACTGACAATGAACTGATCCTGTCTATGTATCCAAAGCCTCATATATCTTACTCCTCTGTGCCATACAGCTCTGTTGTTGTTTAAAAACTACTTACAAACATCAGTGAGCCACACTCTGGCACTGCGTGACATGTTCCTTCATTATAATTAACATGATGTTCTGAGTCGTTTAGCCTTTGTAAAAGCTGAAACATAGATTTGGGTAACACTTTATTTGGATAGTCCGCCTACAGAGAATTTATTTTCAACAGCGTATTAGTTAAGATTCAACAACAATTTGGTTGAACTTGAACTATTCACTTAACCCAGGGTTGGGCAACCTGCCTCTCCGAAGCCACATGCGTCTCTTTATCCCCTCTACACTGGCTCCCTATTGGTTTGTCCAAAAAAAGAGGAAATAGGTAACTGTTATTTTTTCAACATTTTCATTTTTCATATATCATTTTTCAAGGCCCAAAGTGATTTTATATTCTCTGAATGTAAAAATTTGTAGCCTATACAGCAAATAAAAAAGGTTTTAACATTTCTTCAACTAAGGGCCTGTTTATACGGTTCCGTATATTTCTGTAAATGGGTTTTTATCTTTGCGTTTGCATATATTCACATCATATATATGTAACCGGCGTTTTTCTCGACGAAAACTGAGATTTTCAAAAACAGCTTCCCAAGTGAAAGTTTTTAAAAACATCCGTTTTTATGGAGATGTGTAAACAGGTTGGCGGAGATTTTGGAAAACGATGACATTGCAACCCAGTTCGCGCATGCCCAATAGGCGCCCGGGAGCCACAAAAGCCACAATGGCGGATATATGCCAGGTTGTTTACGTTTTGTTAGCACTTTTGGGACTACTTACGAGCTAACAAATGAACTTACCACCACTACACCGGCGCACAAAGACGTCTGCTGTGCCCAATTTTAGTCATAGCATAGCAGCCAACTATGCTGCATAAGGTTAAAATGTAGTTTTTCATTGTTTTTATCACTAGCGGCAAGAGGAAAACAAATCACTGTGCATGCGAAGAATGGTTTTTGACATACGGCGTATCGCCACCTACTGGCCGGGCATGCTAATTGCAGCAAAAAGCTGCCGTTTTTGCGTTTTCGTGTAAACAGGGATATCGTTATCACAACTGATTGTGTAAACCTGATTTTTTTTTATATGGGATAAATAAAAATCTGTTTTTATTTGTAGCGGTATCCGTGTAAACAAGGCCTAAAATGTGCATCATACATCTACGACCTGGCACCTTTTCCTCTAAATTCAGCCATACCTCAATGTCGGTGGCTCATCTTAAGTCTCCCTAGCTAAGCTAACTATGTTGTGTATGTTGTTTGTCTTACTCTTATGGTACTATGGACCTCTCCTTGAGATGTGTCTGTAATAAAGTATGAATTGAATTGAATTGAATTAAATTGAAATATGGATTCCAAATTCACAAAACAGAGGAGAACAGAGAATTTAATAGTGTGCAGACAGATTTGTTTGCTTTCACCGCCATCGCAGCAAAGGTTAAAGTAGCAAATAATCATGAATAGCCCACTGCAGAGGAGCCACTTTGTGGTAAAAGATATTAACGAATGCTCATTTGGAGCTGAGAGGCTAATTTAGATATCTTCATTATAAGGCTCAAATATGCTTTTCGGCCCCGTACAGACTTTTTTTAATCCTTTTTTTGGCCAAAAAGATTTAACTTACATGTAGCTAATAGTCACATGCATAAATAATCATCTAAAGAGAAAACAAACAGCTGAATTGTTGAATCTCAACTAATAAACTGTTGAATTGTTACAAATACTCTCTACTATCTATGGATGGACTATCCAAATCAAGTGTTGCCTATGTTTATATATGTCAAATTGTATTGAAAGTACTTGCACTGACTATTACACAATAAAAAGAATACATAGGATATAAAGATTTGTGGCAGGCTGTGCACAGTGAAGAAGGTGTGTAGCCAGAGAGGAACCTCTGTCATAACGGATGTGTCCTGTGAGGTCTGGACAATGATTCATCACTGCTGTTTATTGACTCTCACTACAACTACTTTTATGATGACATGATCGTATTACATAAGAATGTGAATGATTACAATATAATTAAAAAGTAACAGAATAGGTTATTTCCAAGCCTTATGTATGGAGATTTGGAACAATTTTCCATTTAATGATATATGTTGATGTTGTTCATGTCACAGTACTGATTTCAGTCGTCTTGCTTGTGTCTCACATGCACCTGCAAATGCTAACCCTCAGTGTGCTGGATGTACTATGTAAGATCTGGCTGTCCTTCAGTTGTTTCTAATGTAGTAGTCGAACATGATCACAAACAACCGTTTTAGTCATTGTGTACCAAAAAGTGTTCCGAGCACAAGTCACTTTATTTAGTTACAAATGAGTGAGCCGTAATGTTTAACCTGGGTCAACACATCAAGGTTACGCTCATGTTTCATGTTCCTGTTTGTGACCTGACAGTGTGTGTTGACAAGCTTTGCTCAACACGTGCATGTTTTTATTTTAACGTACGACACCTGATTTATTTTAAGAGCACATGTGATGATAGCTCAGCTTTGTGTCTTTTACTAATACATATGTGTCTTATTCTCCTCTAGTGCTGGGGAAGTACAGTGGCCATCTGAATATAGGTATGATAATCTCTTTATTTCCTTTTGAGTCATGTGTTTGAGTTGGGGAGATAAACCGATCAGTAATTGAGTACTCTTGTTTCAGTGTTTTTTCCACTACCAGTCTTATCAGCTTTACATCCTTTGAATTGTCTCACACCATGCATCACTTAGGATGCTGTGTTATCCTGATGAGGTTTTAGAAAATGTGCTGCATACAGACACTCTGCAGTATTTCATTAGCGTGAACAAGCCCTGCAGAGACACATAATGAAGTCCTAGATGTAATTATGGCTAGCATTTCACTTATTTATCCCCTTTGTGTTGAAGACGGTGAGCCTCTTTAGTATTGAGTTGTGAATCTCACAACCAGCCTCCCTTCTCTGTTTATCAATCTCTTTATTCTCTCCTCACTAAACCCCCTGTGGGAACCAAGAGCTGATCACAGAGCAGTCCCCTCTGATCCTCCTTATGCCATCTTCAACATGTCTGATTCATTTAAAAAAACACTCCATTCAAACCATCATTGTTCTAAATGGGCTCTTCGTATGTAGGCCAATTCCTCAAATACTCATCACAATAAACATTAGCACCGGGAAGCAGTAACATTTTATTTGACCAAAGTTTATCAGCACTCTAGATTTTCTAAATGCAGAGTTTGAAATTAGTCGTGGTGATACACTGTGAAATGCTTGTGTGTTTTAGGAATAATAGACACATTTATTCTACATTTATCGGCTAAATCAGATTAGATATACATATATTAATGTTCTTTTTAACTGAGGTGACGCAGTATGTGTAACAGAAATTAAGATTACAATTCAAACCTCAACATCCTGGCTAGTCTAAAGGATCAACCAGATCTCTCTCCTGTCAGGTTACATCTTCTCAGTTAAGTTCAGATGAGGGATGGAAAACATTTGACATTACAATTTTCTGAATTTGTGAAACCAAACTAACTTCTTAAAACCATGAAACTGCAAAAACTTTGAAAAACAAAAAGGATGATACTTGAAGTAAAATGTTTCAGTTATATAAATGTAAATCTGAAGACATGAAGCGTTCGGTAGCACTGTTAATTTTGTTGTCGAAAACTATGACAAAAGTTTTTCGTCAACAACCTTTTTCCATGACAAAAACAAGACGATGACAAGCTAAAAATAGATCTTGATAATAAAAGTTAAGATGAAAACGAGATGAGTCATGATGAAAATATTAATGGTGGACAATCGGACATTGAAAGCCAAGAATGTCCGTGCTTATAATTATCTTCAAATGCCGCATGAGCGACGGGCTGGTAAACTCCAGTAAATAGTCTGCGCCAGGATGTTTTTCTAGCCAGTAAAAACACTCACAGTTGTAAACTGTAATTCAGCAGTAAATAATCAGTCGTGTGTGTTTGACTGTGGATGGTGGAGCAGCTGAATGGATTTGTGGAGTTGGTCAGTTGCAGCGGTGACCGTTAGCTGCTGAATGGCAGCGGAGCTAGCAGCCACCGGCCGCCGGACTTCACAGCTCATCCCTGAAGGACTCCACTCAGTCCGGCCTATCTCAAGAAGGTTTATGGGTTGATGCTATTTAGAGTTTTAATCATCAACTCTGTGAGGGGACACAAGTTTAAACTTGTGTCCCCTCACAAGACTAAAATATTGCAGATTAAGAAAGAATTCTGGCTGAAATTTAGTTATTTTCTGCTTGTTAGAGTCAGAATTTACAGTGAACCAGGGTACAAATCCTAGGTGTCTCAGATTATTTATTTGTGGTATCAAAGTTTTTGAGAGCATAAATAGATGTTGAGCTTTTCAAATGATGATCAGTAAGTGTGTGCTCGTAAATCAGCCCTTAAACCTGTCAGAAACTGTTGTAAAAATGACAGTTTGAAAGTTTATTTGAAATCACTTGTGTTTGTAGAAGGATTTGTCTAAATTAAATTTGTATTCAACCTGTCACCTTGATTCTAATTTCTCATACATAAATTAGCCTAAGTGGATTAGTTTAAAAAGAAAACATATAGAAAACATATTGACTAAAGGTAATGACTAAAATGAATGAATGAATTAATTAATTAATTTTTGTCAACTGAAATGTTTTGAGTTTTCAGCCACTAAAACATTTGAGTAACATGAGTGTTCGTCGACTCAAACTAGACTAAAACTATGAAGGATAAAACCAACTGTGATTAAAACTAATAAGCATTTTCGTCTCAAGACTAAGACTAAAATAGCTGTCGAAATTAACACTGATAGTGATTAAACTTCACAATTTGGTAGCTTAGAAAAATTCAAAATCTCATTGCCTTTCTTTGCCTCCATGCGTCCATATATATTTTTCAGCCCTTGAATTCCTAGCAATCCTTTGCCTCTTCTTTGTATGATGTTTAGTGGGGCTGAAATGCTGCAAGATCATCTGTAAAATACAATAATTTACTGCAAGACTTGAACATATTGTATCTTGTGCCCCTGCCTCGGTCCTCATTTCCATATGTCTTTTACAGATTACACAGGGACGCTGAATAAGAACTTTTCCATCGCATTCTCCATCATCGGCATGTTCTCCTCCCACGCAGTCAGCAACCTGAGCATCTTCTTCTGTGCTGAGATCACACCCACTGTGATCAGGTAGGCCCACTGAAACAGCGAGACTGTACTATTATAGGGGGACGAAATGTGGAAAAATGTGCTTTACTCCCGAGGAGTTTCTGCTTTGAATGTATAGGATATTGTTTGTCATTACATATGTGGGCAGCTAGTCCATAATGTGTTCACACTTGCTCCACGTAGCATCGTCAAGCCATCGGGTTGAGAAGTGCTGTAGAAATTTGAAGTGCTCCTTCTACACCTGTTATAATACCTGGATCAGTTTATAATTCATTTACTACAGTGCCTAGTGTCCATAGCATCACATGGTCCTGCAGATGGATTAGCTGCTCCACCTCCTGTTAAAGGACGGTATGAAATCATTGAACAGACTCTCACGGTCCGGTGTCAAATGTAATCCCCATCTTGTACAAATTAGCCATCCCCTTTGAGAATATATGACACAGCACTGGATGTTCATTATCTGGGGTTATGTAAGGGGTGTTGTTCTACTGACAGTGCTCTGAGGGCGCCCTCTGGTGGTGCTTTTAGGCAATCATGGGAGAGGAAAAGGACTGCATGTAGAGGAGGGCGTTTGGTGGTGCTGCAGCACTCTCTGCTGCTATTTGCTAAAATGGCAGCAATATGTCAACAGAGGCATTCATGGCCAAACATGAGATCCTCCCTTTATAGAAGTGATTTAGGTGACAGTTGAGAACAACATATAATTCATTCATTCACTTTAATTGTAGTGAACCCTCTTCTCTTTGGCTGCTTTCTAGGAGGTTTATGAGGTCTTTTGGTATGTGTGGTCATAAATCCTTAATCCTACCGTGTGATAACATTTTCCATCTCATCACAGGGGTGGTGGGCTGGGTCTGGTCTTAGCCAGCGCTGGCTTCGGCATGCTGACTGCACCCATCATGGAGCTCCACAATCAGAAGGGCTATTTCCTTCACCACATTATCTTTGCCTGCTGCACTCTCATCTGCATCATCTGCATTCTCCTGCTGCCTGAGACACGCTACCAGCCCCTCCCTGAGACCCTGGCCGATGGCGAGAGCTACACCCGTCAACCTTTCATTCCTCCAAGGAAACCTGGCGAGCAGGGCCTGCTGGTCCAATCTGAGAGCAGCAGGGACTACACCAGGGTGCATGACACGCCGCTCCACGAGGTAGCCGCCACCGCGGCGTCCACTATGGATTCCACCGCCTCTTCAGCTGTTGATTTGACCGCTCCGTCGGTCGCAGATATATTGGCTCCCACGTTCATGGAGGTGCATCCTGGCAAGTCTGAGCCTAAAGACCCCAACGGTCACTCTGTTTCATCTTTGTCCATGACTCCCCTCAAAGCCTTGGGTAAAGACAGCGTCATACATGTCAGTAAAGAGCACCTGCTGTCTTCCACTCCTTTACACAAACCCCCGTGCGTCACAGACCCACTTTTAGCCAATGCTGAAGAACCTCCAGCAATAGTCCTGGAATCTGTTGATCCATTGACGGATCCTGTCATTCTTGAAATGAATGACATTGGTCCTTCACCTACAAAAGAGTCAGTTGCTACCCCTTTCCCTTCATTAGAACCTTCCACTCCCCCCATCTCTCAAACTGTGCCTGCCTCCTTATTGATCTGCACCACGCCCATCATCGAACCCCCGCCTAGCTCCACGTTAGAATCCCCCAGCCCGGTGGGACATGAGATCAACGATATCGCCCCACACGCACCTTTGCTAGAGCCCACTCATGCCACTTTAGAGGACTCCCTTACTCCATCTATGCATGACAGCCTTCCTCCATCCCCTACCCCCTCTGCTCCGATTACAGATCTCATAGACAACACTTCCTCTGATGCTCCACCCCCCATTAGCGTACACACTGACATTCCCATCCACTTAGAAATAGTAGAGGATTCTACATCAACTCCTCCCACTAGAGACTCCCCCATACCTCCTGTCATACACCCCCAGTCGCCGCAGTTGGACCCCACCTCTCCCTGTGTCAATGAAATATCTCCTTGTTCTCCTTCTCCCCCTAGCCCAGTCACCGTTTCCCCTTCACCCACTCCCCCTCCACCCATTGACTCAGGCCATACGCCTCCAGAGCCCTTTTCCACTCCCCCTGTCATAGATACTGTCAATACCACTGCACCGGTTCCTACCATTCTCCCTGTCACAGACATTGTGCACACTTCCACTCCAGAATCTACCACTCTGACTGTTCAGCCCACGCAGGATTCAGCTGCTTCCCTCGCCATAGATTCAGCGCCAACTTCAGGCTCTACAGAAGCAACTCCCCTCTCTCTAATGGACTGCACCGTCTCCTCCCCCATAGACTCTGGTATGCTTTCCCTTAGGGACAGTGCCAGCACAGACAACAACACCGTCAATGGTGTGGCGTCATTATGATCCAGCGTTGCAACCAGGAGGAGAAGCTTTACGGTTGCGCGAGGAAGCAGCCCATGCCACATGAATAACCCCAAAGGGGGTGATGAGGGGGGCGTGAACTGTCCTACTCAGACTTCAGGCACTGAGACTGTCCCCACCTGGAGTTGAGTAGACATGTCTTATGGAGATGCTGTATGTTTCTCAATGTCTCCCTCTCCCCCCGACCCTTCCTGCATTTAGCCAATAAATGAGACCACGTAAGTGAGAGAGTGCCAGAGGCTGGTTTGTGACAATGTGACAGTATCTTCTGCTCTTTTTGAATGTCACTGGAAATCACCAGCCTATAAACTACTTTGATGTAAATGAATGGGAAATCACTGTCTGTCGTTTTAAAGAGACTTGCAACTATACCCACAATCACTGAGAGGACTGGTGAGAAATACGATGATGCTTAAAAACAAAAAAACAAAAAAAATCAAATCACTGGTACTTTTCCTCAAATGAAATGTCCGTCTAACATATTTGTATAAAAACATCGCCTTACCTGTATGGACAGAAAAAAAAACAAAAAAAAGAAACTGAATGTTACAGCATATTTTTTGCCATTGCAGAGGTAAACAATCCAAATTGGAGTGATTTTTCTAAATGCAACGCCAAAAACTACTCTGACCAAAATCAAATGTAGACATAGTGCCAAAAAAAAAAAAAGCATAAATACAGTATTTGCCTGTTTGGTGCATTCCCCTGACATCGACTGTATGTGGATTAAAGTGAACCCTGTTTCGAAGTTCAGAAATTGAAAATAATTGAATTGTTAATCAAATTAATAAAAGACTGAAGCTAAATCACCGTTTGATAAATCAGAATTTAGAAATGAGATTGCTAAATTAAGAGAAAAGAATGACCCATATTTTGTCGCTCTGAAGAAACTTTGATTTGTCCGATTGTTTCAGTCAATGGAATTAATGGTATGCAAATGCTTTTATTTGTAAATGTGATATTGTAAGTAATTGCATAATTAGTTGTTGGGCTTCAGTCTTTTTTTTTTTTTTTAAATTGAAAGTATTATTTTTGAATAATCTCCCATGGCGTGCCCTTATTGTACAAAGCTATACTACATTTCTTACAGTATTTGCGGCACCTCAGTGTGACGCCACTTTATTCTTTGCAGTTGGGACAAAGCATGAAAAATAATTGTGAACGTGTCAGCAAAACAAACCTTAAAATGCAAACCTTAAAAACACACAGAAGCTATCTTTGAAACGAAACCAGTGGATGACAAAATGTTCGATGTGATAACCAACTGTCATCGCTAACCTTCCGTGTGTTCTCCCAAATCATGTTCCGGCATTAACATAGTTTATGTACTGTATGTCAGCGTGCTCATACATTCACATGCACAACAAACAACAATGCACAAACATGCAATACGTCATACATGTCAAAAATGACATTTTAAAATACAGGTCAAATCCTCATTTATAGGTAGATTAACCTCTTCATGATCTTAAATTGACAAACTCTTGCTTAAGGAGGCACTTTCTCTTCCAAAGCCTGTGTCCATGTGTGGACAGTGTTATACTTGACTTGTGTGTAACTCGACAGGTGTAGTTACACTTTTTTGAGGTTGTAATATTTGTCGGAGAAAGATGTACAACTGTGGATAGACCACTGTTTACAATGTAATAATGAAAAATAATAATTACACTTTACTGCACAACATAGGAGCCAACTGAATGATGTCTTGTCATTTTGAAATGTGATAAAACTCACAGTATATCATATTACATCTCTACAGGGAGTATTGGTGATCTATTAAGGTGTCATTCAGGAGTCAAAGACAACAGCAGACTTGTGTTATTCACACCATCTTGTGGTGCACTTAAGAAGAACCTTACAGGTACTCTACTCAGCTTCAATTTATCGATCTTTCGGTGGATCAAGTCAACAAACTTCCATTTAGAGTTCCGGTTCATAGAAACATTTAGTGTCTAACATGCCATGCTGCTAAGCCTCAAAGCACAATGCCCTGCAATCATGTGATGTCAACTTTGGTGGAGCTTGGCGTCTTGACAGTTAAAGAAAAAAAAAAAAAAAAAAAAAAAAGGGAAATGGAGTGGGATTTTGAAACTACTAGTACATTAACTTTTGCAATAGACCCAGATGTGATCCACTTTGTGGAAAAAGGGTGTTGACACTGGATTTAATAAGAAATTCTTGGCATCTGCAGTAAAAAAGTGGGTTGACTGCAGTGGTCAGTAGCTTCACATTACTCTGAGTCCTCATTGTCTGTGAGTGTTGGTCTGTCTGTCTCAGTGTGCGTATTGCAGGAATTGAACTGTGTATTGCCAAAATCCCATGCAACACCGGTGTAAAGACAGTGACACAGCACAATACAACCAGTGTCTTCTCTAAGATCTGTTGCTTCCATTTCCACAGCTCCCAATGCAGCTATTTCACGGTGCTGATGGGAGTCGTTCATCTGGAGTACAATTGCAGTAAAAATCAGTAAAAGCAATCCAAAGCAATGTTAGCACCAGCGACAGGGTAAACTAGGAGACAGTGATTGGTGGAAAAGCAAAAAAAAAAAAAAAAAAGACGAAAAAAAAAAGGTTATGCCTTTGTAAATAGTAGGCTAAATGTGTGGACACGCCCAGCATAAGATGAAGGATCATAGATCATAACATGGACTGATAAATAGTTTTGAACTTAGATAAAACTCTCAGAGACATGAAGTCCCCAGTGTACGCATTTCAGGTTTTGCTTCTGTCAACCGTGCGACTCACAATCTCCTCACGGGAGATTCGAATGAATGTAAAAACCATGGATTGTACCATTTATAATTTCTGATTGTTTGGTTTCATTTTGTTTTTGTTTTAACAGACATAATGCACTTGTATATAAGCCATACCTGTTGTTAAAATAAACCACTATTTATTGATCAACCATTGATATCAGTGAGTGCTTCATTTTATGACGTTTCACAAGTAGATTCCAAGCAAAACAACAGTCAGATATTTTTACTGCTGGCTAGAGGCCTTGTTTCTTAAAAAAGGACAAAGCACCTTTTAAAGTACAGAAAACACAGAGTGCATCTGTTTTCTATTAGACTTTTATTTTAGTCATCCAGCATGGATTCAAAGGCTGGATTACCAACAAAGGCCCCTGACCCTCAGGGGCCCTGGAAGCTTTCTGTGTGGCGGTTACTTCACAGTGATATGATTAATTACAAATTTGTTTGGTAAATTGCCTCATTAAAGCACAATTAACAAGGCTAAGAGTCCATAGCCATGATGGATATTAAGGCACAGAGCTAAATGCTAATGTCAGTATACTTATATGATCGTAATGACAATGCTAACATGCTCATGTTAAGAAAGTACAATGTTCATCATCTTAACATGTTTAACACAAGGTGAGTGGCATTAGTTTCGTAGGTTTGGAATCTCCGACCTCGTCACAAATCGACGTTTGCTCATGGACTTTCCACGTCCAGATACGACGTGAAAGGTGCCCTGGGTGTGTTGGATGTTGACGTTCTGGGATGGTGTGTCAAGTGTTAGTGTTTTTTTGCCTTCAACCACTAAAGCATGTGGTTGGGTTTCAGCAACAAAAGCACGTGGTTTGATAGCTTACAAGTCAGTAGATCGTCAAAGTCATTAAGGTTCATCTTCTGGGGACCAAAACCTCACAGCAATCTATCCAAAAGATCGATGGAACTGTCAGACCAAGCCTTGCCTAGTGCAGGTTCTCAACCTATTTCGTGTCAACAACCCCGAATTGATACACGTTACGACCTTTATTTGAAAAAAAAAATCACTTCAGAGATCTCGATCTGAAAAGATTTTGGTTGTTAGATATGATTACAGGAAGTGAAACCTATGATTGGAATAGTCGCTCTTATAACTCACTCACATTGTGTTCAATTCTATAGTAAAATATATAGTGAAAATAAAGACTCTCCATTTTCTGGGAGCCTGGTCTCACTCTGAAGTTGTCTAAGCCCGGTGCCTGGGCAGTGAGTTGCAACATCAGACACTGACGAAAAAAGCCATCCTTTAATGTCGGCATGATACGCGGCCGGTCGCCAGCACTCGGCAGCGTCAGGGGGAACGTGACGGGACGACAACAAATTTAAGGTGGCAAAACTCTGACTAGGCCAGGTGGGAGAGGTGGTGGATGGGTCTAACAAACACGGACTTTTACCTAGGAGATCTGTGTTCGTGTCCCACAAGATTATAAAGCCAACCTTGTTCTTTTCTTCTAAACCTAACCATGTGGGTTAGTTGTTGGAGGAAAAAAATAAAGTCAATTTGTGTTGTTGTACTGATGTAGTGCGTTTATTTTGAAAGGGACTGAATGTAAATGGTAAATTTCCATTAGTATTTTGAAAGAAGACAATGCATGTAACAAGCAGAACTTGACACGGCGTCCCAGAACGTCAACAACCAACGCACCCAGGGTACCTCTCACGTCATATGTGGACGTGGAAGATCCATGACCAAACGTCAATATGTGATGAGGTCAGAGTGAGAATGTCTTGTTTCTGGGGACCCGTGGAACTCACTCAAGGACCCCTGAGAGTCCCTGGACCACTGGTTGAGAACCACCACCCCAGAGCCACACTGCTAGTATGGCTAACACCACAAACTAAGAGCGCTACCCAGGGTGGCTCCTGCTTTTTACCCAATCTTGAGTAACTGTCTTTTAGAGGCCCCCTGTGTTAGAATCTAGTAAGTTACTACTTATGCACAAAGTTGTTAAAATTTTTACAGATGACACAAAGCAAATCTGGGACAAGGTGGCAGTGAAAAATACTGGCTGTTTTCTGTGATTCTGGGGGCTCAGTGGAGGCCCACAGCTCATTTTTACCCTCAGGGTCCCTAAGCGAGTTTATCCGGCCCTGGCTGTAGCATTTTGTTTAACTCAAAGGATCATTTGCAATATTCAAAATACAACATGGAAATATTCAAGTTTAAAGTCAGGGTTGATATGACTAATCAGAATATCAAATTAAATGTCTCAACCTGGAGTTCAAAGCAAAGGCTCTTTTAAACACTTTATAGTTGCTAATGTATGTTGAATCACTACTGCACTTCTAAAGTTTTACATTTCCTGGCACGGAAACCATTACTCTGGCTTTTATGGAACAACCTCAGTCCAGGCTACATTTCCCCTGCATGGGACAGGGTGATGTCAGGGGGATGATGCGGCATGATCCTCTAGCCCACTGCATCAAACCGGAGCGCTCCCATTGGCTGGGAGGGATGTGGATGCTGCGCCGCGTGCAACGTCATCTGACCAGCAGCACGTTTATCTATCTCGCCGGCTCAACACTCGCCCTAGAAATGAGGCAAGTGCAGATTTTGAGAAACACAGTGGCAAGAGACTGAAGACTGGACGCCGGTGAAGTCGAGACAGGACGCTCTCTGCCCGCATCCGCAGCGCATCATGAGGGAAATCGTTCACATCCAGGCTGGACAGTGTGGAAATCAGATTGGGGCGAAGGTATACATGTTATCATTCAATTTAGGAGGGTAAAAATAATAATAATTGTGATGCAGACTGTGCCATGTGTTGTTTTTGTTTTGAAAAATGCACAGATTCGCGTCATTCGGTAATTAGTTTGGCGCTTTTGGGCGTATATAAATACATATGTCTTATTTTTCTTAAAGTTTGAGATGGATTAGTAATTGTTTATATCTGTGAAGGGTGCGGTCCAGCTGGGCCGTGCGTGATGTGGCCCCCCTCGTGTCATTGTGTCACCAAGCAGATGCGCAATTACTAAAATAAGACCTGACGCACGCGCTTTAACTCACACCATGTTGTAAATATTGTTAAATGACCACAACAACTTGAGTTCATGTATCATGTTTGTCCCATCTTAGTTCTGGGAGGTGATAAGTGATGAGCATGGCATCGATCCCACCGGTAGTTACCAAGGTGACAGTGACCTGCAGCTGGAGAGGATAAACGTCTACTACAATGAGGCATCAGGTAAAAAAATAAATCAAATAAAATAAAAGTGAAAGTTTGTTTTTAATAAACAACTTGTTTGCATCTGAATAGTTTACCACTACATTAAGCTTTGTTTCCATTGCTCATTATTCTTGCATGAATGCTTATGCTACACAGACCTCATTTAAATGCAACAGTATGCTCATGTCACTAATTTAGCTGCAGAGGGGAAAGTAGGTCCCAGTATGAGTGCAGGGGAAAATTAGGACAGTGAATCTGCTAAAATATCTCCCTTCTCTCTCTCTGTCTCTCTCCTTCTCTCTCTCTGTCTCTCTCCTTCTCTCTGTCTCACTCTATAGGGAGCACAGGTATCTGCAGTCTCTGTATAGCTGACCCCCCCCTTCCCTCACCGCGCTCACTGTGCCTTGGTCTCATCTCAGTATCTGATTTTCATTGACGTGGCATGTTGAAGGTCACTCCACATGCACTGCGTGTCATCATGCACTGAACAGTCAAACGACGACGTTCACTAATCACGCAGCTTTGTGTCTAGTGACTCAGCCTGTGAACTGATGCTGTTGGAGGAAGGACAAGTCGGTGCAGATCTCAGACAGGGTTGAGATCACTCATCGGCTTTGCGTAAATGAAAGGCCTGTGCCGGAGCTGCATATGGGCCTAAACAGCTGATTCACTGTTGCTGTCTACTGCTGCTAACATTTTGCCTAGCAGCAAGCATTATTGATCCTTTGTTTCCATGTTGCATGTCAGCTTCAGTGTCACCTACTGGGTCACTATTGAGTGTGGATTGACTAAGCATCCCATGACTTAATGTCTCCTTCACATTAAGAGAGTACACTGGGAGACATTTACAGACGCAAGTAACATTAAGACTTTTAAAAGAGGTATGGGTAGGGGAAGAATGCAGCTTTATTTGAATGCACTCTGCAGAGCTCAGCACTCTGTCAGCCCCACCGGTCTAGAATAAGCAGTGCAGCATGCTGCAGCAGTTTGTTTGCAAGAAGGGTTACAAAGTAAAGGACAAGAAACAAACAATCGAAGGCACCATGATGTCTTCAGATATCCAGCTTCGAGGACAGGCTGTAGTACCCTGTAAACAAAAGACTGTTTATCTAAAAGATCACTTTGGCAAACAACACTGCTGTATTTATATCCTTTTGGATTGGCGTACTTAATAATTCCATGGTTCACTACAAATATTCTGACATCATCACACTGAGACTGTCGATATCTTCCTCCACCCTTCCGTCCATTGTCTCTCTCTTCCTCTATTCTCTGCTCTTCTTCATCCAAAGGCAGCAAATTCGTCCCTCGTGCCATCCTGGTCGACCTGGAGCCAGGAACCATGGATTCAGTTCGCTCCGGCCCGTTTGGACAGCTGTTCAGGCCTGACAACTTTGTCTTTGGTGAGTGTAACAATAAATCACCATGTCACCAGCACTGACCCTGAACCAGCTGCACATACATTATGTGTGTGTGTGTGTGTGTGTGTGTGTGTCAGCAGCTGCTGTCATGTCCTGTCAGGCTGGACTTAGCTTCACCTGAGAGCGCTGTGCAGCAATGTATATTTTCAGCACGTAGCTTCTGCAGCGATGTGCCAGTGGTGTGGTGCATTGTCCGTGCGCAGCTGAGTCAGACTGAGACAGCTCTCGCAGTGACTCAGCAGAAAAGAAATCTACTAGGAGGTGATGCTGCAGTGCTGCTCACAAGTGAGGGTGCAGGGGCCAGTAAACTCCACCACAGGATGACTCATTATAGAAATATAGTTTACCAGAAATATCAATTAGCATGTCTAATAGAGCTAAAGAACTAAAACCGCATTTACTAATGATGTTGAAATTTCTGATTTCCTAATTTATAATAAATGATGTAAGGTATTTCAGTGTTTCTAACAAGAAGTACTTTACAAAGGTTGCCATTAATATTGCTTTGTAGATCAGTAGTAAGAAGGACACCGTTAGGGTTGCAA